TATCAAACAATTTTTTAGTTTTTAAAATTAAATATTTGAAAATTAATTTTAAAATATTAAACAAACATATCCTTAATTTTAGGTTTTATTATTATTAGTAAATAAAATAAAAGAAAAATAAAAAGCTGATTTACTTTCCATATAAAACGAGCATATTGTGACGTATGCTTTTTAATGTGTAAGAAAACTTCGTAACGAAGTTTTCCTCATGCACGATAAAAAAATTTCTTTTATATGTTCGAAGGGGGATGAATGGTTTCAGTGGGGAATTCTTCCTCCCATATCACATGTTCCTCATTCTTCTTCTTCTATTGTCTAAATTTCAAGCAACGAGACTCTACTCGTGCAGGATCTGGTGAAACAGGAGAAAACTTGAATTAAGTGGGAAAACTTCGGTAGAAATACCATACCAGGTAAGGAGAAGTTTAATTCATTCAATATATGAAATTGAATTGTTGGGTACTCTGTGGATAAGGAATAGGAGTAGAGATATGAATTATTTAAATGTCCGATTTTGAAGAATTTCGATTCGATGAACTGTTCACCGTTTGAAAGTTTCGAAATTCTTGAAATTAAGGATGAATTATATAATAAAATTGTTGTTTTTAACTTAAATTGAACATGTTTATGGTTTAATTTTGATTTGGAACTAATTTGGATGATTGAAACTGAGAAATTTGAAACCTGGATTTTGAAAATGGCGTACTGGAGGTGATTACTATTCATATTTTGCAAAGTTTTAAATATTGATTAAATTCTTGAAATTAAGGATGAATTATATAGTAAAATTGATGTTTTCAACTTAAATTAGATATAATTCATGTTTAATTTCGATTTGGGACTAGTTTGGTTGTCTAAAACTCGAGTAATTTGAAATCTGCCAAAATTTGTAAAATTCGACACTGTTATTGGGCGAAGGAAGAAGAAAGGGATATGGTGGAGATTTTTTAAAAAGATCAAGGGTAAAATAGTCATTTTTCATCCTAGGGACATAAATGTAATTTTTGAAAAATATTCAAGGGCAAAATAGTCATTTTACATCCTAGGGACATAAATGGAATTTTTGAAATTGTTCAAGGGTAAAATAGTCATTTTCGGGACATGGAAGGACTTTTTGAAAATGTCCAAGGGCAAAATAGTCATTTTTGGGACATGGAAGGAATTTTCAAAAATGTCCAAGGGTAAAATAGTCATTTAGGGACATACATGGAATTTTAAGAAAAGATTAAGGGCAAAATAATAATTTAATGATTTTGAAAATGATTTCGAAAATAGTTTCGAAAATAGTTTCGAAATGATTTCGGAAATGATTTTAGAAAAAAAAAAAAAAAAAAATATATATATATATATATATATATATATATATATATATATATATATATATATATATATATATATATATATATATATATAGAGAGAGAGAGAGAATGAAAGTAGTGTGTTGTGACGTGTGTGGGTCAGACTGAGCCTGAGGGCTGATGCCCAAAATCAGTCCTGAGACGTTATATATTGGCTAGACTGAGCCGGAGGGTTGGTGCCAGAATCAGTCAAATACTATTTTTATTGACCCGAATGAGTCGTGAGGACAAGTGGTCCAGAATCTAGCAAATGTGAATAAATTTTGTTATGTTTGAATGGTACCCGGGGTGGTACAAAGTACATTAGTGTAATAACTATGTCGGAGGATTCTGAATGAGGTCCCAGACTTCACTGATTGGTCGAGTCATGTAGATTACGAGATCAAGTGGTGAGAAGTCGATGGGGGGATGACTGGTGGCGCACTCGGAGGGGTACTCCAGTATGAGTGATGAAGGGCGCCAGTAATCCTACTCTGTGTGGAGGGTGGTCAGAATGGTACTGCAGGTACCGATCATAATGTACCCACAGATGATAGTCTCTGAGTTCGGGCATAGTTAGGGTATACTTCCGAAGGTGTCTTAGTGTGTTGATAATTTCATAATTGATCATAATATATAATTATTACTTCTATATCTGTTTTATTATATCAAATGATTTAATACTTACCCCTATTTTTCTATGTGGATGAGACTCGCGATGATCACTTTTATGTGGGAGCATATCGGAGTTGAGAGATGGGGATAGCTTCGAGGAACTCGCTTTTACATGTATAATATATAAATAAATTATGTTACTATATTTTGAAATTTCGTTAGTGAACTGGAATTTCAATATATGTTACAATTACAAGTAATATAATGTAAAATAGATGTTGTTATTTACTTGTTTACTACTTTGCGAAGACATCATTATAGTAGCGATTTCTAGGGTCGTTACTCATATTCTACAAATACAATTTTAAATTTAAATCCTAACATTAAATAATATATTAATAATTTTATTTTAACACTCGAAATTTGTTATACGCCTAATTTATATAGTCCCGACCTTTGATAATTGTACCAACACATAAATTGTATTTTTAAACCTTTATTTATTTATAGAGATGTACGTAAGTTGCGTTGAATTAATTTTGGTCAAACTCATTATTCAAGGGTTGGATTAAGTTTTTATATATTTTTTTATTTGAATTAATCCAATCCATCTTAAAAAAAATATACATTTAATTTTAAAATATAATTATTAATTTTTTTTAAATAGATTAAATTATTTTAGAATATTATTGTCTGAATAATTTAATAATGGGTAAAATATATTTTTCATACAATAAGTATTAAAAAAATTTATATTTAATATAATTAAATTTTATTGTCTAGTTCTCATATATTGTAATTTATTCTACTGATTTATTAATTATTATTAAAAAAATTATTAATTTAATGTACAAAAATGATGAGCTGTATATTTTTAAGTGTCATATAAAATATAATAATTTTTTTATTTTATTTTTCAAAGCCACATTATAATTCCAATACCCTAAAGTGTGCATTGCTATGTTTTCAGAAAATACATTTTTCTGTGCTAGTGGCCAATAAAGCCTAAGTAGGATTATAAAAAAGGGTCTGGTATTATTAATTGAACCATCACTGTCACCTTGTTGATGATGTGCTATTACCAATGAAAGAGTTTTTGTGCTTCTTCTAGAGTTAAGAATTGAGGTGTTCAGTGCCCACATAACAATAATCATTTTTGTTAAGTACCCAGAAAATAACCACTCAAAAGACTTCAATTTCATCAAAAGTTACCACATTTTGATCAAATTTGGTATGAAAAAGCTTGGAAAATGAAGTTAGAAAAATGAAATTGTGAACGGTAAGAAGACTAAGAATTTGAGTGGGACATTCAAAATTGGTGATAAACGTTAACTCACATGTAAAGTTCTAAAGATGAAAACTTGAGCACCCTTGTAATTTTCATTCCGGAATTGTGACTTGTTATGCTTAAAATAGTTATACTGAATAAAAAAGTCATAGATTTTTATTCTTCTTTATTACTTGTTTTCAAAGATAAAAAAAAAAAAAAAAAGGAACACCCACTCAAAGAAAACACCCAAAACTTGTCCTTTTATTTCTAGATTCATAAATTAGGAAAACTTCAAACAATTTGGGAGAAAATCAGGAATCTTGTATCTTATATTTTCTACGGGAACACTTTTCAAAAGTTAAAAAATATATTACTTATATTACAAACATTTCATTACTCGTACTTTTAAAAATTAAAAAAAAGTATTAATATATCTTATTGGCACTTAAAATTTAAAAATAATATTAATATATCTTATTGACACTTAAAAATATAAACACAACATTATCGTTATATGGAAAATAGATTTTACCTTTTAAAAATAAATTATTTAATATAATAATAAATTAAATTAAATAGTAAATAGATTATTATTATTATATTATTAATATTTTATCATGTAATAATCTAATATTTTATCATGAGTGAATCTTATTTTTTCTTAAAAGATAACTATTTGGTGTTCTATTTATAAAAATTGAAGTCTTTTATCCTTCTCCAAACTCTATCTTCTATATTTTAAAATTTAGAAACACTTGTTTCTGGTTATGTTTGAGGGACTTATGGTATGAGATAATAGAGATTCTTTATTTAGTCTCGCGGGTCCATAAAATGTATTTTAATGCGCACCCAACTCCTAAATATCACCTTAAAACAGGGGAAAATTGGGCCAATTAGGAAAAGGGAAAGCCCAAAAAAGATCATGTGCTTAACAATATAAATCCAGAAAATGACACCTCTGAGTCAGGACGCTTTAGTTCTATGACAAAAAGGGTAGTAAAATAAGCTTTAGTTCCATAAAAATTGAAGTCTTTTATCCTTCTCCAAAAATATTTATAACAAATGAAAAGTAAATAAAAGTAATATTTTATTAATGTATATGTTTTATCCTTATCTCTTCAAAGTGTTGTATGATATTATTATTATTTTTTTCAAAAACCGGTTCAATAAACCCAAACAGAACACCAAACAATGTCAGCAAGCAGCATCAAGTAATTTCCCTAACTTGAATTAAACCTAATTTGTCTCATAGGAAGTAAGAAAATCCCATGAATGCCTTTTGTTTTATTCCCACAAAATTTTGTATAAATTTGTAATTGTTACTTGAATGTTGCATGATTTGTAATATAATTCATATCCTAACGAAAGTATATGATGATTAATGTTATGAAGGATATATATGCAAAGGTGCAAACGAAAGGATTTAATTTAATTCAAGATCCACATTCTATGATGCATGAAAAGATGTTTGAGATGAGATGAAGAAGATGATCTCTCTTCTACCGTGTGTATACAAAGAACGCGCACAATCACAATGTTTATTGTTGTAATGGTTCCCGTGGTCACCATACGAACCTAGAACCATCATCCAAAACCGTACACACATATTTGAAGAGAATCAAAACAAGAAAACTAAGATTTAAACAAACAACTTTGATCCACATAAACTGCACACACACATATATATATATATATATATATATATATATATATATATATATTTATTGTGCATTGCACAGATGAACAGTAACATGACATGATACGACATAAGTATCATGTTATTTCTTTTTTACCACCTTGACCCCCTCTTCGCCCAAGGGTCCCACATCGTTGAAGGTCTGTCCCGCAATCTGATCCGCCGTTTTCAGTGTATCCGCCATTGCCCCCGGTCGACTCTCTTCCACTTTCATCACCACTTTTTCTCCACGCCCCTCAGGTATATCTTTGAACCCTTTGTCTTGTAGCCTTAGGTTCTCCATTTTCCTCCTTGCAGCTTCATCTGCACCACTCAAATCCTCCTGCATCACTCAAATCCTCCTTGTCAGTTTTCTCAAAACATCAAACAATTAGTCACGTCACATGCATAAAAAAGGCATCATAGGGTCTAAGATCAATTTTAGAGAATCTCAGACAGGTTAGAGGATAAACAAATTTAAAGGTGAGAGTGAGACCTTGGTTTTCTCCCTTGCCTGTGCAGTTCTCTGTTTTGCCGCCTCTGTGGCATCTGCAGCCTTGTCCTTCATCTCCGCAGCCTTATGCTTGGCCACATCAGTTGCCTCCGAGGTCTTGTTCTTTGTTGCATCCGCAGTTTCTGCAGCCTTCTCCTTCATCTCCCTACCCTTATTCTTAGCTGCCTCAGCCGTCTCGGCAGTCTTGTTCTTTGTTGCATCCGCAGTTTCTGCAGCCTTCTCCTTCATCTCCCTACCCTTATTCTTAGCTGCCTCAGCCGTCTCAGCAGTCTTGTTCTTCGTTGCTTCCGCAGTTTCAGCGGCCTTCTCCTTCGCTGCATCCTTCATCTCCGCCGCCCTATTCTTCGCCGTCTCTGCTGTCTCCGCAGCCTTGTTCTTAGCTGCCTCCGCGGTTTCTGAGGCCTTCTCCTTGGTTTCCTCCTTCTTGCCGCTCAAGTACTCCACAGCCCTCTTAGCAGCATCCGCAGCAGAATCCTTCAGCTCCCCAAGCTTCCCCATAGCACTATCTTTCCCTTCTTTCGTCTTCTCTGCAGTGTAGTCCTTATACTCTCCCATCTTATTCACCGTAGCATCTTTTCCTTCCTTAGCCTTCTCAGCGGCATAGTCCTTATACTCCCCACCCTTCTCCATAGTCTTGTCCTTCGCTTCCTTGGCCTTCTGAGAAGCATAGTCGGCGTATTCACCAGCTTTTTCCATTGTTGCATCCTTAGTTTCCTTTGCCTTTTGAGAAGCATAGTCGGCGTATTCACCAGCTTTATCCATTGTTGTATCCTTAGTTTCCTTGGCCTTCTGAGAAGCATAATCAGCATACTCACCAGCTTTATCCATTGTTGCATCCTTAGTTTCCTTGGCCTTCTCAGAAGCATAAGCTGCATATTCACCAGCCTTGGAACCAGTTTTGTCTGTGGCAGGAGAATCGTAGACCCCTGGAGATTTGGTGGCTGATATGTCTCTCACTTCCCCTGTTGGCACCTTATCAGGTTGGATAGTAACATCATGAATCACCTCTTTGGTGTAGGGGTTCGCAGGAGGTGATTCTTTCTTTCCCACCACTGCTTCTTGCACCGCCCTCAACATGGACCCGATCACACCACGTTTTTCTTGATCGTGTTGCTTGTCCACGACACCCACATCATCACGGTCTCTCTCTCTGTTGGCTTGCTCAAGTTCTTTGGCAGCAAGTTTCCCAGCTGCGGCATCTCGGTCTCTCTCTCTGTTGGCTTGCTCATGTTCTTTGGCAGCAAGTTTCCCAGCTGCGGCATCTCGGTCTCTCTCTCTGTTGGCTTGCTCATGTTCTTTGGCAGCAAGTTTCCCAGCTGCGGCATCTCGGTCTCTCTCTCTGTTGGCTTGTTCAAGTTCTTTGGCAGCAATTTTCGAAGCTGCCTCAGCTCGTTCCTCGTGTTGCCCCGACGCCATCGAAAACTATTTCGTTTTCTCACACTCTTTTCACTACTCTCAGGTAGAAGATTGATCTGTATGTTCGATTTATTAAGAAGATGTTGAGGAAGAACGAGTGTTTGATGGTTTATATGAACTGCCGGATTGAGAATGAGAATGGAAAAGGAGAGGGTAAAGTGACACGTGGAGTGCAAAGAAAGCAAGAGCAGTTTGGGTGGACATGTGGGTGCAAGCATGGTTGCAAGATCTGACACGTAAGTATGAGATGGTTTTTGGTGGTGACATCTAATGTTACGTAAAGGATATGCATGTGTGTTGGGATTAAGCAAGATATGAGTATAAGGAGGTTGTTCGGTCCCATGAAAGCCTGACATCATTTCATGCATGCTGAAGGTGGATATGGTTAACTCAAAATCGTGGCATCATGTTAGGGGAAGGAGTAACCAAATGGAAGAGTCAAAAGATTCTTCTCATGACTGGTATCATCTTTGTTTTACTATATGTTGCAGTGGAGTGGTAAAAAAATCAGAAAGTTTTTACTTTCACAATTCTTCCTTATCAAATGCTACTGCAAAAAGATGTTCATATTATTGGGTCAACATAGTAGGTCTAATTACGACCAAAACATCAGAATGATAGTTTTGTCAAGTATTGATTTAAATAAAATTTAGAAAAATTATATAAATAAGAAAGTCATACTTGAAAAATATAAATTTTTATGTACTAAAGTATATTTTAAAACCAAATTTATCTTCTTTTCTTTTTTTGATTTTAATTTTTAATTTCTTAGAAGTCGTATTTAAACAGATAATTTTTTTATATTATTATTAATATTATAATAAAAAAATTAAATAGCACTATTAAAAAGTTACATATTTTATAAATTTTATTGTAAATTTTTGTTTAAATTATTTCTTGCAATTTCTATAAAAAATTTTCAAAAATATTCCCTGAAAATTTCTAATATGTAGTACATAAAAGCATAATATCACTTAAAAATAAAATTATAGATTAAAACTTAAAAAAAATGCTAAAACACTATTTCAGTGTTAACAATCGTGTTTTCAAATATAATTTTAATATAAATTAAAAAGAAAAAATATGAGTATGACTTTTCTTTTTTAAATCCTATTTTCGAGCATATTGTTTTTTAAATTATTGAAAAAGACAATTTAAACGAAAACTATATCAATGTTTATGTCTCCGAGTATAAATTTTTATTTGGATTTTGATTTTTGGACATTATTTAATATTGATTAATAACTTTTCGATATTTTAATAACAATAATAAATATTTTATAATATATAAATAATTATCCTATAATTACTTAAGAAAATTTGGTTAGTAAAATTTTTATCGTACGAACACTTTAATATATATATATATATATATATATATATATATATATATATATATATATATATATATTATTTACGTTGTCCAACCTATAAAAAAGATCGTAAACTAATCTAAAATATAAAAGTAGATCAAAATTAAAATTTACCGAATACTTTAGATTTACTTTTTCAAAACCTACAATTTAGTTTGAATTTCAAATTAAAAAAAATAAGAATATAATTAAACAGAATCAAATAACATATTTTATTTAAATATAATATTTAATTATTAATTTAATAAGTATATATACTTATATATCTTTATGGTTGGGGTTTAAAGTTTGAATGTATTCTATAGTTATAATATAATTACGTTTGTTAAGTGATGTTAACTATTTTTTAATATAATTTTTATTATAAAAATACATAATTTATTTATAAATTTAAGTGATATTAAAATTATTATTATAACATATTCATATAATGTTGTTATGATATATTTTTTATTTAAGAAATTTTATCATAATATGTTTAGTAAATTTTCTCTAAAAAATATTTAACAATATAATAATAATAATTAAACCCTATTTGATTTTATGTTTAATTGGAATAATTATTTGATAAAAATTTAAACCAAATTTGTGATGTGCCTTTTTATCAAATTGATAATTTAACCATCTCCTAAGAAATTGCTACATTCTATTCTATTAAATGTTGATAAAAATAAGATATGAGATAAATGTTTATATCACTACAAGAAAAACACCAAATAGTGACCGAAAATTTGGTCACTAAATGTGCAAAATTAAAATAGTGACCGAAATAGTGACCAACTGGAATTGGTCACTAAATCAATGAAAAAGTTAATCAATAACAAATTTAATTATTTTTATTTATTTATATTTTTATTATATCTATTATTTATTTTCCCTATCTCTTAATTATATTATATTTTTTAGAAGTTTAACTTATTATTAGGTGGTTTATTGTCATTGTCGGGATTCGAACCCGGTACCTTAGAGTTGGAGGCTGAAAGGCCAACCATCGAGCTACTACGATCTTTTAATAATAACTTACAAATAAATTATATTTATATACAAATAAATGTATATCCGTATGAATATATAAATATAAAATCTATAAATAAAAATATATTTATATATTTTAATATATATTTAAATATTGATATATTTAAATATTGATATATTTATATATTGATATATTTATATCTTTATATTTTTACATATATTTATATTTTTATATATTTATATCTTCATATTTTTACATATATTTATATCTTTTCATATTTATATATAAAGATATTAGTTTTCTATACAAATAATATTATAATATAGTATATTATACTATTAGTATAGTATACAAATTATTAATTTTGTAATTTATATACAATGAAAATAATATAATGGTATATTGGTATAGTATATTTGTATTCTAATTTTTAAATAAACTAAAATTACGCTAAATGTATAATAATATATGAGAGGATAATAAATTTAATCCAATTACTTTTATAAATATATAAATATAAAATCTATAAAATATTAAAAATGATATTATATTTTTAAAAACAAATATTAGAAAAAGGTTTAAAAACTAGTATTATCTTAAATTTATTAAAAGTATAATTAAATCTCTATTTTCTTAACAAAAATTTTAAACTTCTCAATTCTACATTTTTGTAAATTCTATCATTATATTATCATGCTCATTATATCAAAATGTTAAATACTTTTAAATATTAAAATTAACTTTATCAAAAATTAGGAAAAAAAATTAATCCAAAAGAGTTCAAAAATATATTATAATATTGTCAATTTTGAGTTTAATTATATTGTTCATTCTCAAAGTAGAAAAATATATTGTAATTATTTTAATTTAATAAAATATAATTTAAAATTTTAATACTAAAATTAAAAGATTAAATAATAATAAATTTAATTCTTTAAATTCAGTAGCTAGAAACTAAAATTATAGTTTCTCTGTTTTGAATAATTAAAATAAATATTTAAAAATAAAAACCAAAACTAGTATTATCTTAAATTTATTAAAAGTGTAATTAAATATCTATTTTCTTAATTTTATTTGTTTCAAACTTCTCAATTCTACATTTTTGTAAGTTCTATCATTATATTATCATCCTCATCTCCTCCCATGTTCTACTTTATCTTTACAATAGTCAATATTCTTAACTAATTTATAGTTTTAATTATAATTTTTTAGTATATATTTCAGAAATTAATCAATTCTAATTTATTATTTGAAAAACTAATCAATTCTAATCAATAATTTAGAAAACTAATCGATTATAATTAATTATTTGAAAAAATTATCAAATATGATCGATCATTTCGAAAATCTAATCGATCAGAATCAATTCTGGCTCGAGCGAGACTAGAGTCGCTCAAGCGAAATACAACCCGAGAATACCAATTTTGTGTAGGGGGCGTTTCGCTTGAGCGAGAAGGTTCTCGCTCAAGCGAGATACAATTTAGATAGCGGTTATACGAGAACCGCTCTTAAAATCTCACTTAGATAGCGGTTAACCTGGAACCGCTATTATATGGTTTCAATTATGATCGATCAGAATGCAATTATGACCGATCATAATCAAAACTTACATTAACTATTTTTTTTATATTATGTTTTTAAGTTTTCTATTAGAGAAAACCTTTCAGAATTCAAAATGTTAAATACTTTTAAATATTAAAATTAACTTTATCAAAAATTAGGAAAAAAAATTAATCCAAAAGAGTTCAAAAATATATTATAATATTGTCAATTTTGAGTTTAATTATATTGTTCATTCTCAAAGTAGAAAAATATATTGTAATTATTTTAATTTAATAAAATATAATTTAAAATTTTAATACTAAAATTAAAAGATTAAATAATAATAAATTTAATTCTTTAAATTCAGTAGCTAGAAACTAAAATTATAGTTTCTCTGTTTTAAATAATTAAAATAAATATTTAAAAATAAAAATCAAAATTAGTATTATCTTAAATTTATTAAAAGTGTAATTAAATATCTATTTTCTTAATTTTATTTGTTTCAAACTTCTCAATTCTACATTTTTGTAAGTTCTATCATTATATTATCATCCTCATCTCCTCCCATGTTCTACTTTATCTTTACAATAGTCAATATTCTTAACTAATTTATATTTTTAATTATAAATTTTTAGTATATATTTCAGAAATTAATCAATTCTAATCTATTATTTGAAAAACTAATCAATTCTAATCAATAATTTAGAAAACTAATCGATTATAATTAATTATTTGAAAAAATTATCAAATATGATCGATCATTTCGAAAATCTAATCGATCAGAATCAAATATCGCTCGAGCGAGACTAGAGTCGCTCAAGCGAAATACAACCCGAGAATGCCAATTTTGTGCAGGGGCGTTTAGCTCGAGCGAGAAGAGTGTCGCTCAAGCGAAATACATTTTAGATAGCGGTTACACAGGAACCGCTCTTAAAAGCTCACTTAGATAGCGGTTAACCTGGAACCGCTATTATATGGTTTCAATTATGATCGATCAGAATGCAGTTATGACCGATCAGAACTATTTTAATCGATTAAATCTCATTTCAATCGATTAAAACAATTTCTGCACAGCGTTTTAATCGATTAAAACTTATTTTTATCAGTTA